TTCTCTTACGATTCGAGGGTGCCTACGGAAGCGGTCCTCTAATGTTGGAAAATTAGAGTCCAGGATCAATGTGAGGACTATGGATTAGAGAGCGAAAGGGTCAACCGGGTTCAGTTGCAGCACCCTTTCGGTGCCTAGTTGCCATGCCAACGGGAGGAGGCACGAGGGCTAGGATACCGGTAGATTGCCGAAGCCTAGAGAAAAGCAGTGGGCCAGTAGGGTAGGGCCACTGGGTATGGGTATAGGAACACGGGTATAAGTATGTGGAACAATTTAGTGGAAATTGTGCTGAGAGAAGGGGATGGGCCGGTAAGTTAGACACGTGGCTACACCAGGCCCGTCATCAAGACGGAGCCACTCACCCTGCCTTCCTCTTCAGTATGAACAGGTTTGATGTGAGCCGTCTAACCGCCATGACCTCTGCCCGGCATAGGACAGCGGCGGTGCTCTGAGAGGTGACCAGCTAAACTACTCTGCCCCGAGTGAGGAATGTATGTCTTCAATATGCTGCGTAACTGATGATCTAGCTGTTTTATCAGTTGAACTGGGGCCACTGTGAAAAGCTTCCGGATACGCTCAAGGGTGGTTGGCGCTATTTCCAGCAAAACCTGGGGATATCTATTTGTCAGAAGATACTTTTTTGCACACTCAGACCTTGAAAGTGATGTATTGGCGGAACAGACTCGACATAGTTGTGTACATGAACGCCATAAATGCCCGTCCATAGCTGATTTCTAAATCGTCCATTATACGGGTGACAAGCCACTGCAAACTAGTATAGTGGAGAAGGCAAGTTCGCTGTCCCTTTCGGGGCATGCCGTGATGATTACCGAAATCGCAGAGGAACCGTTCTGTTATTCGTCGGCATTGGAGATCGTATTTTGTACGCCCATCTGTACGTGCATGACACTTTTGTACGGTCGATTGTTCTGCTTTCGAGATCCTACATCAAAGTGAAAACCCAATGTGCTGTTGGTTGCTATAACGTCTGCTTAATTGCTAATAGCTTGTGCGTACTGCTGAATGGATTGATGCAAGGTGAGTACGACTAGTATCGATTCAATAGTTGATTTGCGCAGTGAAGGTGCAAACACGGACTGGACTTCAGAGGTAACTAGATACTCCTCAGAGACTATCGCGTTCAACACTTGCGGAAGAAATTTGATCCTGTTCTTGAGGTCTAAGAGGACCTTTTGATTGCGGGCAGTCGTATTCCGCCTTCACGAACAACCTGAACAGGTACGTTCACAAGCTATATGACGTGACCTCAGATAGAACACTACTACAAGTGTTGTAACTCAGCAGAAAATTTTGTGCTGTGACAGGATGAACATGTGTACCCCCAAACTTTTGATTGCAAGGCTGATTCAGTCTGCAGTAGAAGCAGACTGAAGTTAGATACTGTTAACAGGTGCTACCAACAACGATTTATTTAAACCAGCAAACCAAGGAGACATCGCAAAGCACCTCGACAACTCAGAGATAAGTGGAGGATAAAAACCATCGAACTTATTAGAAGAGTGGGCACAAATCTTTCAACCGGACGAGAGGTGTTAGCAAAATCGAGTCAGTACTGAATGACACGAAATTTTAAGTCCAAAGGTGGCACAAGTAACACATGAACAATTATGACAGCTTAAATCCTGTTTAAAATAAATTGCAAAACAACCATCTCATCAGTGCAAAAAAGTAAGGGCAGCTTGGACTTTCGACCACACACCTACAGCTAACCGTCTGCCTAAAATGCACAAAAGGGGTTAATATGACACTCAACTCTGGAACGAACGTCTCGTCAAATCACAGCACTGCTAAATCGCTACACGGTGTATTGAACGTGTTCGAATCCTCTCCATAAGTGTCCGGGCGGCTGGAGCTGATCGAATATTACGTGGATGACTACGAACCGATCCAAAGCCCAAATCGACCATAATATGGGTCAATCAGAATCCAGCATTTCAGCTCACGCTCCCCGTCCCATCAAGAATATCCCAGCGAGACGTTGTGGGGAATTCCGCGAACATTTTATAAATACAGCCCTGATCAGTCTTCGTTTGTCTTCATTAAATGCTTTTCTGCCCTTCTCCATACGATATTGGATGGAACAACAAGCCAAGGAGTAGAAAATGAAGTCGCAAACCACAATAACTGACGACAAACCGAACCCACGATACAGCTTTAAGCGGAGCAACGTCAAACAATTTTACAGCAGGCACATAAGCTATTCGAACAGGCCGGGAAAGGACTTAGTGTGGTTCTAGTGTACGAACAGGATAAAAACTTTGGGTCTCCGTTTTCTTCCATAGATGTTACTGCCATTTAGATGACTGAATTCAATCTCGACGCTGAGTCCAGACAAAATTCGGAAAGCTGGTCCAAGAAATATGACGACGTTTCAAACAAAATGGAAAGGTTGGTTGTCGTCACGGAAACTGGGACAGCTGAAAACGGTCGATTTACGGAGTATACGCTCCCCAAACTCTAGCGCGATCCTTGATTTGCAGATACCATCAGATCCCGGCCCGGATATCCAGTGAGCAGAGCTCCATGTTAACCGTCACAATCTCAAGACTACCAAGATTTCACCAGGTTTGGTCAATAGAGTGTGAACACCTCAAGCACAACATCCTAAGGGTCAAATGAAGTGTACCACCCCCGAGTATGGGCTACGACCATCACAGCACGAAGACTTTCGGACTGGGCTGCTGAATGCAGCCGAACAAGACCCGAAGTTGACGCGTTAAAAACATATCAATTGATGCCAGAGTCTTGTTAATTCCAAAGCTGATGCTGTAATGATAGAACATTCTCAACCTTCTCAGCCTCAGAAGCCAAATTCTAAACGGACTCCGAGAATTGCCCACCTTTTTGGCTCTATGAAGGATGGCACATTTCAGCCTACTGTTTCCACCGGAACCACAGACGTGGCAAATGCAATCAAGAGGTCCAAAAAGTATAATGCTGCCAGGCAACTTCAGGAGCTCGAGCGAACATTGCCGTGACAAAAAAATGCCGTACATTTAGGATGAAATCACCCGGTCAATCGATCTCATAGGAATGCTGAGCTCCGACTCATGGAGTAACTCGTCCATACCATTTGTGACAAAACTAGTGCGGGTAGTGGCAATACGTTCATAGAAACACCACACCCTGAAAACTTTATGGCCGTTACAGTTACAGCCAAACCGGAAACAATTGCGGGTATACGCGACAAAATAACTATCCCGTGACGTCCGACACCGACAGTTCTTTGAAGAATTCTGTAGATAGCCTGAAACGTCGTACCTACGGTCTCCTACCTCCAGTTCACAACCAGATGGTTAGGCAGAACAATCCGGTGCTCTCCAGAGTCAGGGGGCAAGGACCGGCAGAAGTAACATCACAGAAGTTGCATGAAGGTCAGGTGCTGATTCAAGGATATCGTGAGCGCCATTAATGGTGGACAGTGGATGGTATACTACGTGGAACATATGGCGCAACTCCTACCTCAGGCACCGGTGTCACGAAAATCAACTTCAGGCGGTAGACTGTTGCCCTACAAGGGAACTACTGGAGTTTTTACGTCAAAAACAATACTACACAAGTAATGCACCACTCACAAGGTTGCTGAAGATTCTTCGACAGACCACGCCCTTGTTGAGGCTCATCAGGCAGCCGCAGTCTTCGAAAGCCCACAAAGTATAACATCTATACGTGTACCGCGATTTCTCGAATATCCTACCAACTGAAACATGAGGCGGCCTGGTGCAGCACATTCGGCTGCCTGGAAGCATCACAAACGAGAGATTCAGCTCAGTTCCATGTGAGTCTTACACAAAACCAAATTTTTATTCTAGTATATCTCAAATCAATATCCTCACTGTTCCGGGGATGGTTCGACACAGGACAGCAGCCACCCCAGCCACGACAAGTTCGATCCAACCCGCGATCCGACTTCTCTTGTAGAAGGTTTACGCGACTCACCAATTATTTCTACCTCAGTGCTTTGCAATTGGCCTCGTACAGAGGACCTAATTGTGGACATTTTTGCTACCATCAACAATATTTCTCAGCCATACGCTAAGCATACGGAGCCTACAGAGACGTTGACTGTGGTTCATGTCTCCTTAGGCATCTCGCACAATACCAGCTACCAAGATACGGCCTACGAAAAAGGCGTAGAGAAGGAAGATTTTGGATGTTGTTGAAACGGTTATCTGTCCCCATCTGTGATTGGCTGGAGAAGTTCTAACAAACGGGGAGTGAACGACATCTGTGACGTTCGCGTTATCACTGAAGTCATAACTGGCTGAGTGAGCGCTTGGGTTGTCGGTGGCTCAGAATGACTGCCAGGTATGCAGTCTCTTCCTGTTCACTCTTCTTTTCATTCTTAAAAACTTTTTTAAGCAAACGCTGTGATTGAACGACAGTGAATGGCACGAACTTTCTTTGGACACAATAAACAACTATTTGTTAGCACTATGGGATTTGGAGCCTAAAATCGATATTTCGTCCCGTACAAGGCGTTCTCGCAAGACGGAGGGAGACGCACGAGTTGCAGATGCTAGTTGTGACAAATCAGTGCCAGCGAACGCCTGTTGATCCCAAATATGGATCAACCCTAGAAGCAGCAAAAACGACCGCAGGAGTCTTGCGTGCTATCTAACCCAGCACGCAACCACAAAAATAACAAACACACAGAGGGAGAAAATGAATGTGATAGCGATATTTCAGGCAAGTAGTGCCTTTTAGAGAAACAAAAAGATCTCATAGATAAGGAAGAGAGGAGGATCACGAATTCCTGCTAAAGACTGCAAACGAACTGCTATGTAAAAATGCGAAACGACAAACAAAATCGTAAGACTAAGGAGACTTAGTGCTGCTGGGACATTTCGTGGTGCATTTCAACGTAATAAAGAAAAAAACTGGAAGCAGTGACACATTACATCGATCCGCAAGAATGGATCCAACAAGATTTTGACGATGTTTTTCCTGCAAGCCCGTCAAATAACAGTGCAACTTACCGAGAAGCTCGACCAGGTTTGGATGTCGCAAACTCTTCATAACTCGTGCTTCCTCTAAGAATTCATCCCGTACTGTCACATCCTCCTACAAACATAAACAAATAGAAGGTTTGCGCATCGGTCGATGGAGCCGCAGACAGAAGTTCACATCTAATCAGCAATGTCAACATCTATCCCTCACGAGCATCAAGAACACACATGCACATGGTTTCGACAAGTCAAGTGGCACAACCTCCACGGTTGTTGAGCTGATCGCGAAAGCATTCCCCGCAACCGCTAAGGATACACCTTTTGGTCAACACAAACGTAAAAGCCTTGACTCTGCCATGTCTTACTAAACACCCGGGTCACACGGGTTCTACTACATCAACATGCGTACTGCTCAAATCCATTGGTCGAATTTACCAAATGACGACATCGTCCTCTTCCATAATTTCTGTACCGTTAACAAATCGATTCGCGTGAGGAAACCATTCCCTATGACTGCAACGCACCTGTCCTGCGCTGTTGTTTCACAGTGATGATGGGGACGACAGAGTTTTTGTTAGCAATCTAAATGGGGGTGGGTTTTACTTATCATTTCGAAAATGACCCAGTATTGGGTAGTTCAGATCACTTTCCATCATATAGCGCGCGGAACCTTATTGAGGTCGCCAGTTTATCCTGAAATGTTTTGCTCATTGAATATACTCTCAATTTCAGTTTGGCACACGGAAGACTCCGAAAAATCATGTTGTGTGCTGAGAGAGTGCCTAAACTGATTAACTGGTTCAAACAATAACAGTTCATGAGCTGCACCATGAAATCCATGCAACCAATGAGGTCAGAAAATCGGATGGCTATTTTACTTTGTGAGGCAATGCAGAACGTACGTTGTTGGGGGTGTGCATTAACACCCAGAAAACCTCTAATATGAGAAACGAACATGAGGAAACCCTTGACTCCTTAGAATTCGTAAGCAGTACCCGTCTAATCAACAGAGGAACATAACTCGTGAGGTGGAAATACGAGCTTTACCACCGTTCTGCAGCAGCCTGTCACGCCACCAGAAGGAAGCACGACGGCTGGGATACTGCTAGGCTGTCCAAGCCTTGACATGGAAGTCCAGAGGAAGGGGTCGGGTGAAGACCTTCCCATCTGTGAATTCGCGCTCTAACCACTGAGGCACCTCCCCTGTCCATGGGCAATTATTCCAGTGCGCCCGCAACAAAGGGGTGGTTGAAATCCCATTCCTCCGTCAGAAAAATAGGGGGGGGGGGGGGGATGACAGTCGACTGATAAAATCATCTGAGCGCCTCTTCCTGTAGGCGCAGGTGAGAGATATTTTTATACTGCACAAAGCACCGATCTGTACTATCCGAATAACTAGACAGCTGTTTCTCAAGTGGATATTTGATTGCTCAACTGTCTTAAACTCAATCACGAAGACGTGACACATTTGCGTACATGGATAAGACAGGCTACTGAAAAACGTGGGTGGATTGAATGCAGGGACGCAATATTCAATCTGAGAGCCAAATTTCAGCACAACTTCAATGGGAAGTATGCAAAAACGCTATTGTTTACTCATAAGTCCAGAAACATCTTGACGATCTTGCCTTAATAACTCAGCTGCATGCACCAACATGCAGCACGTTGCTTCAGTTCATGTGCACCGCGTGAAAACTGACAATAAACCAGCTAATTTGGAGAATATGGTAGAAAATCGAGATGCTCGATAGAGTCTACAGCAAACAAATTGGTGTCACTGTGTGTGAGAGGAAGGGACAAACCTTCACATGTGCGAACACCCAATAACGCAATACATAGGAGAGAGATCGGAGGGAGAAAGGCCGTCTGGCTAGAAACTAAGATCGAACTAGAATAAGGCGACACAAACGATAGGGAGAAAAACACGTATAGAGAAACAACGCCAGACTGAAATTACATCGCGGGACGAGATGGCCGAAGTGGTTAGAGCGCGGATTACTAACCTGAAGGTCCACGGTTCGAATCCGACCTCCGCCACTCGACTTCCCCTGTCTAGGCTTGGGCAACCTGGCAGTATCCCAGGTATCCCCGCCCCCGTGCCCCCCTCGGGGGGCATGGCAGCTAGGCACCGGAAGGGTGCTACAGCTGAACGCTTTATCTTTTTTTTTATCTTACATCGCGGGACTTTTACACACGGGCAAGTACGGGCCTACTGACAAAACTGCATCGAGGCATGAGAAGCGTGACAGAAAACTCCATCTCAACTGTACCGGTGCTGTTTGGTGTGCTACGCCTCTTTCAAAAACGAGTGTTTGTATTCAGCAGGCGGGATGAATAAGCTGTTTCCGAAAACACCATAATCCCGTTTTTCGAATTTTCATCGACAAGATGGATATATATATATCCTTTATATATATATATATATATA